GGTAATACAGTTGAAGGCTGTCCTTTCCACGTCAAGTTTGTATGATCCTGGGCGGTGGAATTGTCGTAGACATACTGGGGTGCCACTCTCAAATGCTTGAGCCTTGGTTTCCGGGAGTCGCGTTGCCAATGACACGAGTGCAAGCGCGTGTAAGAGACCAGTGCAATATAGTTTGGTACTGGCGACATGCCTCTAGGACAGGTTGCAATGCATCATTTTCAACTGTGGTAAGTGCGAATCGTGTTATACACGGCTTTGGTTGAATAGGTGCCCACGTCACTTTGTAAGATGAGTTGGATGGCTTGGACGAGGAATTTAGATCGCGTCTGTCCTGAGTGAACATATAGCTCATGGTAAGGGGGAACCTTATCAAGCGATGCAGTGCACGTGTGAGGGCCATGATTGGGACCTCGAATCATCTGTCTTTCAAGATTACAGTCTCTTTGTCCGCTGAGTCAGAGTTTAGACAAGCAAGTAAGTTTGCATGGGATCATACAGCCAGCGATGGCAAAGGTGGAAAGTTTTTTCACGACAAAGACGATATCGATGAACTTGGATTCGGCAGATCCTAATATGACTGATCTCCATTGTGGCCGGGTTTCGAGGTGTGTGTAATTGGTGTTCACCTGCAATTCCAGTGTGTCTTGGAGGACCCTGTCGTAGTCTTCGGATTCAGGAACTGTCTTCCACTCGACATGGATGTTTAGATCAATGCGGTCCAGTCGTACCCAGCATAGCTTTTTTGACTCGTCATTGACTCTACCAACCGTAAAGAGGGGATGCTGCAGAATAGCTCGGGCAAATGCTTGCTCAACCATGTTCTCGATAGACAAGTTCGAAGTTAAAAATGCTTCTGGAACCACATAACGGCAGGATATAGCGCAACCAACATAGAGCTCTAAGGAATGCTGAGCTGATTGAAAACTCTCACTACTGTTGTCAGCTCTCCTGTTTCACGCGTGATATGGGTCTCGTGAACCAACATGTGGCCGAGCTTTCTCAAGATGTCTGGCTTCCCTTTTAGTCCAGATGGACTTTTTTGGCTACGGAAACGAGCCATCATATCGAAATTTATTGTTGTCAGGCTTGGATAAAGACGCTGAGCATCAGATAAAGGTACAGACATTTTCAGGTTCAGTTACCAGTAAAACGCTAGTGATTTGCTATTTTAGTGGGCGAAACGAAGAATGGAAAGCAAAAGTGTGCAAGGTGAACCTGAAACTGGCTGTACGGTGAAACAATGTAATTTGCTGACCATGATTCTTCTGTACATAATATGAAAAGCTTAACGTGGTTGATAAGCGAATGCACCATCCTGTCAGATGTTAAGGTGAATCGTGTGTATTCCTTGATTCTGTCGCAATGGAAGGACTATTGAGACCTTATATATCTTCGACTGGTTCCTTCTAGGACTTGAGAGTCCTAGAAAGTCCTAGATGAAAGTCCTACGATCTAAGTTTAGGACTTCAAACTTTAATCCTGAACCTTAATCCTGAAGTTGGGGGTGAACCCTCCAACATTCAACAACTGTTCGCAGATATCAAAATTCAAGCCGCGATTGAACTTAGTTCGCCGCGTTGCAGAAACCATATGTTCCATCACCATAAATCGTACGGCAGCTTTGGTCCCACTTAGCCGGATCGATACCGTTGACAAAGTTACAATAGAAATTGCCCCTGCCGTAAAAGTCGAGAGTACCTCGCAAGAAGGCTGTCAAGAGGTGTTAGCACGGAGTTATACTTAGGGATATCTTAATTCCATTACCTCCTTGCTGCTGGCAAATATTCTGTGTACGATCTCTCATCGATTCATCTTTTCCGGAAGAGGTTGGTGCCTGGAGCATGTATCAATCAGTAAGGACCAAGCGCGTTTGCTACCGCAATACGTACCATGCAGACACATCCCATTCCCGAGGGAGGAGGTGGAGCCATGGTCACAACAGTTACAGTACTAGTCGAACTGCTGTTGGGAGGATTGGCCGCGTCTGCTCGTATAGCATGAGTTATAAGTTGGGCATTGATCAGAGCAGGGCTTATGACTGCTACGAGCATAACCGACAAAGTGGTGAATGGCTGCATTGTGGTTGAGTGAAGGCTGGGAAGATGGCTGAGTGACGAACAGTTGATGAGATGAAGGCGAGATAAGACAAAGGATGAATTTATAACGCTTATTTATACTGTAGTTCGAGGCGTATGAGAAGCAGGATCACTGTGCATGCCAGGGTCGAAACCTTAGGCTGCTTAAACTTTAGAAGGCCGCGTATACTTGCTAGGGAACTCATTATAACGGGATTTTGTTTTCCAGACCCGGCCGGCACTTACAGTGGGATGCAATAAGTTTGAATCCAGGCTGAAGTACCAGCTGTTGTAATCTAGCTCCCGTATATAAGGTTTAGCTTAATAAAGTAAGTGCTAAGCCGTATCAGGCAAAAGACTATCCTGATTAGGGTATTGCTGCGTGGGCAACTGGCCTCACCTCGGTTAATCAGCGAACGTATACTCCGTACTTGAGTTTGGATTCAAACCTATTGCCCCCCACTGTAGATCACTAGTCCAATACTTATAGAACAACACTGGCGTGTGTGAATTTCTACAGGTGGCTGCAGCGCCCGGTTGCCCTGCCTATAATACAAATCAATTTGATTGCGGTTGAGGTAGGGGACCGGGGAAAAAGTCTGTTTCGTTGACCCGTTGATAAATTTCGATCTTATTGGAACGTTGCCAAAAGTCAGAAACCAGGGATCCCGGTTTGAGCCGAACACGGTGTGTTGGCGATAGGTGCCCGTTGTGGAACGAAGGGAGCGCATCGTGCGTGACAATAGTCTTCCATTTTATTGCAACTTCCATGTTAGAAAACTAGCGTTGAACACGATCCATTCGCCCAAGCCTCTCATATCTCAAGCACTACAGTAGGTGCAGGGGGCGACAGGGGGGCTGCTACAAAGCTCTCAAGTAGGCATTGGGGGTCTATTCTATTGTATCTAGCGAAACTTGCTTCGTCTACTTATTAAGAAATAAAGCAAGATCATTAGGCTTCTGCGCCATGTCCTGAACCGCAGGTTGTTAGTCACGCGTGGCAGGATGTGGCACTCGGCAGCTTAGGCAATGCGAAATTACGATCTTTTGATAAAGTACAGTAGGTGGTCCTCTTCGAGGGAACTTCATGTGATTTTGATTATGCTTTTTTCATGCCACGTGTGGCTTCGTCAGTGGCCACGTTTGTGGGATAAGCTTCCGTATTAAAGGCAGCTGCAAATAAGGTCGCTGATTGAGTCATCACAAAAGCTTATTATTATATTTAAGTTAGGAAACTTATCTTTATTGAGGCTATGTACGTATTGCCTTCTAAAAGCTTGAGCTAATTGGAATGTTTCATTGTGTTGGCTTGATATACAGTCATTTTCAGGTTCAGTTTCCTAATAAATGTTTGTAATTTTACTGTTTTAGCAGGCATAGGAGAAAAATTGAACTTTGCACGTGGAAACTGAACCTGAAATTGACTGTAACTAGTTGGCTTGTGCTTCAAAATTATTAGAAAACAGCCTTACAACCTCAGACCCGTCGCTGGCCAATGGGCGACGATTGCTGACATATTTTATTTGGGCACCTAGGTGCCCATGTATTGGCCGCCGACTAGAATACGAAACACCAAATAAGGACGGCCGATGCGTCTAGGCAGAAACTTGATGAAATCAAACCAAGTTTAACGTTTAAGACTTAAATGTAAGCCTTACAGGGGTCTGAGACAATCCTAAATCATTAAGATGGAAGTCACCTGAAGCCTAGAGAAGGAATTAGTGTCTCATATATTCTACATGGATCTATATGGGTGGCCAGAACATCCTCAAACTTTTGTGAACTTGAATATTTTGGGGAAAAGCAAGCCACCGGATATCTTAGCATTTACAGGTTCAAAGCTTATACAGTCAATTTCAGGTTCAGTTTCCACGTGCAAAGTTTTTATTTTATTTTATGCCTGCTAGAACAGTAAAGTTACAAATATTGATTGGGAAACTAAACCTGAAAATGTCTGTAGAATGTACTTGTACGACAGAGTACACAATGCATAACATCACCACATTCTGCTCCATATCTTCATACGCTCACCCCATCGTATGGCTGTGTAACTAACACACTCCAGGCCCACCAACAGGCCTCAATAGTCCGACTGCAACTAATTGGTGCCTCGCTCTCGCACCGCACGGGCCGCATCGTTGCTGCAAAGACAGTTTAGATCCCAAGACTTCGGTACGGAGGTTCACACCAAAAGTCTTTGCCGGCGCTAAAATCACGCTAAGTGGGGCAAAAGAGCTGGTACCTAAAAATATCGATTTTTACGCCTATTTACCCCTGCCTTCTTTGTACTCATTCCCACCTTCCAAAGCTATGATTTTTTGAATGTGCACAGGAATTCTCTCTATCCA